TTATTAATACATATAAATATCCTGACAATTTTATTGCTAAGATCCTACTACTCATTTTTCATCTCCTGACCAAACTTTTGTTTTTTATTTTTTTAGTTTCGGGGGGGGGCATTTTTTGAGAAATAAGAGCATTAAACCATTTGAAAGTAAGTAGCAAATTTTAAGACTGTTCCAATTTTTAACTGCCTGTACTTTTTTTTAAACAGAGCTGCTTCCAGAAAAATATACACAAAAAGAAATTTCAGATGCATCGATTTTTTCTTGTCATTCTAAGTTTATATATAGTTTGTGAGAATCACCTTGGAAGTGTAACAAAGTGTAATAATTTATTTGGAAAAGCTCTGGGAAGTTTCCTAAATGAGCAATATGTTTATGCCTCTAAGCGTTCTTAGGTGATAAGTTGCAACAATAAAATCAAACTTACCTTGAACATAGATGTTTTGTCCAGTTTCTTATTCCTGCAAGCTGGGGGGTTTGTTATCATGTAAACGTCATTAACCAGAGACAAAGGAGATCCTAAAGAGAAGGGGGAAAGTGTGCCTCATACTTTTGCAGTAAAGTAAAATATCCTTGCATTGCAGACACAAATTAAAATGGAGGACTGGGTAACATTGATTACATTTTTATTTTCATTAGTGTCATTTCAAATGAGTGGGTGCCTTTTTTAAGTAAGAAATCTTTTACTTATCTAAATCTAAATGTTTCTATTAGCTGATTTGGCCTTCCTTTAAAGTGCTACGAGTTAAGGACTGACCATAAACTACTGAAAAGGTACCTTTGCAGTAGTTCCAGCCAGGACCCTGAGATCAAAATTATGAACATTCTGAAGGCTGGCCTTCAATTCCTCCTACAAAATCATAAAACACTAATAGTCTGTGCTTATATGACACCTTTCATCCAAGAATCTAAAAATATTTTACCCAAATGGGTAATTATCACCAATTTACAGATGGGCAAACTAAGGCACAGAGAGAATATGTAATTTACCCAATGTCACAGAGCAAGTCCATGGCAGAGTTGGGAATAACCACCAGCTCTCCTCATACCAGCCTCCTGGTCTAACCACTAAACAACACTCCCTCACTTTGACATTTAAGTTTGTGTCATGTGTCATCACTGGAAACAGAAAGTTTCATGAACTTGTGGGCGGGAAATGGGCCTGTTTTGATGTTCATGAGGTGCCTATATGATTCACAAAGGCTGTACATGGTGAAAGGACCCGGATTTGATCTGCGCAGGGCAGCCAAAATGCATACAGCCCTGTTTTGATGGTGACAAGAAGCAGGCAATAATGAGATGGGACCCCTGTGGAGTGTTTGCAGAAGGGCTCAATATGAACACGAAAACCCCAACACCAGTGTTTGTCTGAAGGGAGTCCCCTTGTATGGTCTTGGTTTGGGGGTCTCCTAGTCAGGACTGTGGGATACAAATGAAATCAGTGAGGTGCAGCTGCAGGGAACTCAGACACAGCCCCACCTCACACATGCACAAGCTAAGGTGCAGCACAATGCCCTGAGGGCTGGCTCCCCAGAATCAGGAGCCCTCTGGCCTGAATGTCATGCCCCTGAGGAGAGCCCAGTTCAGACCAAGTAAATGCCGGGAGTGGCAGTGCTGGGCCCCTCAGCACTCCACCACGGAACTTGCACTCCTTTGTCCACCCTGCTGGAGCCCTGTAGCTCCCCAGCAGGCCTGGGCCTCCCCCCCCAAGCGAGATAAACCTGCTGCCTCCGGAAACAGGAAGTGCCATGGCTTCCTGTGAGCCCAAAGCAAGGCATGCTGGGAACTGTAGCTTGGCTGACAGCCCTGGGGAGCTGATTCAGCAGTTTTGGTGACCTCTAGGCACCAAGCAGCTGCCCCTCCCCAAAACTGCACAAGACCCTGTTTATACCTTGTGCTAGGTCCAAACACAGCCCTACATACACAGCCTTTAGGGGACACCTTTTCAAGCTGTTCTCTACAACCGTGAAGGCCAGACATTTATTTTTAAGTAAATAAAACCTGAAATTTTCACTTAAATCAGATGACTCCAAGGGATGGGGTTTTACAGGGGCTGGGGAGGAGGGAAATAATAACAAGCTTTGCAGGAGGATTAAAGAGGGAGGAGGAAAGGTAAACAGGATAGAGGTGGCAACTAAAGAACTGTGTTAAGACTGATGTCTACTGAAAAGGGTTCATTTCATCGTATTGAGACATTATTTATACAGAAAACCAGACTGGTCTCTGGAGATTTGGAAGTTGTTGCACAGTACAGCAGCTGACTCCTTAGCGATAACTAATTATTTTCCTCTCTACATATGCACAGAGGTGTGTAGATTTCATTTATACTGATTTCAGACCTTGTCAAGGACCTGGCTTGGAGTAGGACAAGGAAGGCACTTTGCTACATTATCCACACTGGTTATTATAGCAAATACCTGGCTTCCACCAAAAACAGCAAGAATTGCTAACACAGACACACAAGGGCAGAAGGTACAGAGCAAAGAGGGTTCAATCAATATTGCATTGCAACTGGTGTTCAAACGTTAAGTATAGAGGGATTCATCCTTTCATGGCTGCTGTTCTCTGAAGAACAGGTAAACACCGGCTGTGTAGTACTTGTGGCCAGTGACACTGCACAATCACTTTGAAGAGGAATGGTTGCTAGCAGTATTGCTCAATGTATGTCAGGCACTAGTGCTGATCAATGTTCATCTTCACTTCAGGCTTCCTGCTTGGGCATTACTGGCAAGAGGGATCATAGGCACCTCAGAGGAGATTGAGCCTGTGGAATTTCTCGTGTGTACAGTAAATAGACATAGGATGAGAGGAAAAGGCAGTTTGTTTGCGGTTTATTTACCCTTATATTCTCTCTCTTCCTCTTTCTGCTGTATGTTTGCACAAAGTTTTAACTTGGAATGAAAGTGCCCTAGGTTTAACATTTCATGACAGCAGTGAAAGCTAAAATACAGTACAGGTTAGAACCCCACTTCTTTGTGTTGAGGAGCAAGTTAACTGTTACTGTAACTGAGAGAGACAACACCCTATACTGCTTAGCCTGAGGTTTCTTTGAAGCTGAGAAATGCAAAAGAGGAAACACTTCACACGTACACCAGTTCCGGTACTACAATCTTGCAGTTTACAAAGTCCTCAAAGTTCCCACAGAAACACCCGTGCGAGTGAATTAGTCTTGTCCTTTCTGTGGATCTGTAAGGAAAAAGACAGCTCCTTATCTCAGGCTCTATAGAAGTTGGTGATTTTTCTGGAAGGGTCCGTGAGTGTGGCAATCTAATGTGCGCAAAGAAAATATAGGTGCAAATGGAATGTGTGAGGATTTCAGTGAGCAAAACATCAAATACAATACAAATTTGTGATGTGGGATTCTGAAATTTCCTTTAATGGTTTACAGCTATAATATTTCCTTTAACAAGACATATAGCACAATGCTGAAAATGTTCATGCTAATAATAATCCATTCAGAAATCATTTAAAAACTTGAACTTGAAAACATTCCACTTCCAGAGTAAAATGCATTACAGATACGTTCAATGCAGCAACATAATTAAAATGAAGGTACATTAATGCCCATGTTGCTATTATGAATTCCTGACATGAAGTGCTCCCTTTTAGAAAACAAATTGTTTAGATCATGCTGGGTTTTCCATTTATTCATGAAGGACGGGATTCACAAAGTTACTTAGGCCTTGGCTACACTGGCGCTGTACAGCGCTGCAACTTGCTGCGCTCAGGGGTGTGAAAACGCCCCCCGTCCCGAGCGCAGCGAGTACAGCGCTGTAAAGCGCGAGTGTAATCAGAGCCTGCAGCGCTGCACGCTCGCTCGCAGCGCTGCAAGCTATTCCCCTCGGAGAGGTGGAGTACTTACAGCGCTGCGAGAGAGGCAGCGCTGGGAAGTCCTGAGTGTAGCCAAGGCCTTAGGTGCCTCACTCACTTTGAGATCAATGAAATCAAGCACCAGGTGCTTATCTTCATAATTAGACTGCTAATTGGCAATTAAAAGTTCTAATTCTCAACCTCAGACTGAGAATTGCCAGCCAGTTTGAACATTAACTCCTTTTTGAGGAGACCATGAACAATAACAGAGAAGTATATGATGAAGTATATTGAGACTCTATTTTGATATCTGAATGATGTGACCAAACAACAAACCACTAGTAAAATATGCTGTGGCCAGTGAGTGAAAAAACATGTAAATGACTGTCCAAAGCCTTTACCCGCCCACTGTTAGACAAATACTGTCTGGCTAATGCGGTCTGTCTGGCTAAATGTGGTTTCTAAGCCCACAGCAACATCAGGCTTTACAATCTCAGTAGCAATTTCATTTACTTCCGCACCTCCACCTAAACAGGTTACATTAGAAACATCCTGTGTCTGCATTACAGTTGACTGTTTTTATTTATATGAAAATATTTTTTAAACAGTATCAACCCCATAGGTTTATGTTCTGTAGTCTGTGGATTCCTCAACAGTTGCATATAAAGCTGTTGTGAAGTCGCTTTTATATTTTAAATGGTACTTTTCAGTTTAGGTATATTGTAATTTAGGCTCAAAAATATCTGGCACTAAATGTGTAAATATTTAATGCATCTTAAGACAGAAAGATGTAATATTTAACTATGGGTGTAATCTTCAGTTGAAAATGCCTACTAATATTTTCCCTGCCCACTGCACAAAATTATATAGGACAGAAATAATTTCACTTACTTTGCAGTAGCATTGTTAGCTGTATCTTCATTTTTACCTTGTATTAATTCAGGCAAGCAACTATGGCTCACCATGATTAGTAGGAAGTATAGTATATTCTGCACAGGAAACCATCTTAGTATTAAGCCACTGTAAGCTTTGTTTCCTTAGCAATAGGAGCACTTTACTCCTCTGAAATTAACTCCATAGACTGGTATGTTGTGTTACATTCATACCTCTCCACCAATCAGATGAATTCCACTTGTGCAGCACCAGAGAAATTGTGTCTATACTATAATCTCAGCAAAATAAAAAATAATAATAATAATAAAAAAAAAGATGTGACTTAGTGTTTTGTAAGGAAGTCTTTGCTTGATTTTGAACAAGATTAATGATTTCTAACAAGTCACTAAATTTAGCAGAAGATATTGAAAGGATAAAATAGCTTTAAGAAACCCTCATGTACTAAATTTATATTTAATCCCTCAATAGATACACAATTCCCACCCCATCCTTTTCTGTTTAAAGAATATTTGTGAAAGGACTCAATTTTGGAGTTCACTACCCTAGTCCCTTCTAATCCTCTTCAAGTACTTCCATATCAAGGAAGATTATACATTATTTTTCCACTGAACCCATAGACATAGTTAAATCATTATTTAGGCTCTCAAATGTGATTGGTTCCCACTAACTTTAACCCTTTCCTCTTAAACACAATGAAGCTTTACACTGGCAAAGTCATTTCAGTTTGTAGTTTTGACTGAACTTCCTCTGTGCTGATTGGCTGTTTGGTCCAACTCTCCCCCACCATCTCTTCACCTCAGCATCACTCCATATCTGCTCCTCTGACCCTTTCATCCTCCCTTCAATGTCCTCTCACCCTTCCCTTTTCTTTCCATGTAGTTGATTCCCTCCTAACTAAATCCAGCCCACAAAGAAATCCTTGAACTATCATTTGCTGCCTTCATATAGTTCACTCTGCTGCTGTGTTCTACCGCTTCTCCATCCTGTGTGTGTCTGGTTTATGTAGATTGTAATCTCCTTGGGGCAGGGACTATCTATTACTCTTTGTTTCTATAGTACCAAGCACTATGGAGCTCCATTCTTGGTTGGTCCTTAGGCAATGCTATAAGAATAATAATAGACAGACCTGAGCTATGTTAGTGCTAAAAATGAAAACTGGCAAAACTATTTGTTATTAATACAAGTTTAGCTCTTTTTTTGTGGCCCACAAATTTTTAGATGTTTTTAGAATGAATTTGAATATCTTAGATGAACAGTTTTCAGGCTAAGGGCTATTTGCTTCAGATATTTGATATTTACTATTCATATTGTTTAGTTGTTTAGCAAAGTCACATAGTATTATTTCTGCTCCCTGATCAGATGACAGACTTTTTAAACAGAAGAACAGTTAATAACCAACAAGGTACCCCCAGAATGAGAGTTTGGATACTTAGGCTATGGTTACACTGGAGAGCTTACTGCAGTGCAGCAGCACCGATACAGCTGCACCGCTGTAAGCTTTCTAGTATAGCCACTCAAAACTGATGGGAGAGAGGTCTCCCATCAACTTAATCCACCCCACAACAAATGGCTGTAGCCATGTTGGCAGGAGAAGCTCTCCCACCAACATAGCACTGTCTATACCGGTACTTAGGTCAGTGTAACTTATATCACTCGGGGCGGGGGGGAGAGAGGGGGGAAGGAGAGGGTGGCTTATTCACACCCCTGAGCAGCATAAGTTATCCCAACATAAATGGTAGTATAGATGTAGCCTTAATCATGAGTGTTGGAATTCTGAAAACTTTCAGAATTTGCAAACATTTTCACAAATACCCAGAAATTGTCCAAATACACATGAACACTGTAATTCTTTGGCTGTGAAGTCAGAATGAAAATTCACAGTGGATTTGCAGTTTCTCTGATTACTGAGACACTGTTGTATTTATTAAGGTCAGAAAACAAGGGCATACATAAAGTAACACGTTGCAAGATCACATCCTAGCCATGTCCCTTTTTCCTGTGGCTGGCTGTAAGTATTAACTGGCCTTGGGAAAACAGAAATTGCACGTCTATTGCACAATTCCTGCCCATGGAATCTTGAGGCACAACTCCAACTTCATGTTCTTTTGAGTCAAGTTCAGAAACATTTGGGAGTCATGGTGCCAGGACTAAGTGGTGGATAGCCATCATGAAGAGACTTCCCCTCCTTGGGGTTAATCTTTTCCCCATAATTTCTGGAGTTTATCAGCAAAAATGACTAAATTTTGAACAATTTTATCATTATTTCCCATACCTTTAATAAAAAAAAGTTTATTGGAAGAGATCTTGCAGGTCCCATGAGGTCTTGCAACCATTTGAATTCAGCTCTCTGGAAAGTAATAAGCATTGCAACATGGTTCAATTAATAGCACAGCTTCTAGTTCTCTTTTGAACCATGATCTTTTCTTATATCACATTGAAATCTTACTTAATGCCCTTCATCTGCATACTAAGCTTTCATCCATATATCTAGCTGTCTACAATTACAGCTGGATCCCACATGGTACTTGGTGGCCACAGAATGCCCCTCAGTTCAGTGGACTTCAAAGAGAGTTGAGGAGATTTCAGGATTTGCCCTATACCCAATTATTATAGTATTCTCATTATAATGATATTGTATTCCTGGCAATAATAGCATATTCACTGATAGACCGCAGAAAGTAGGGGACCTTGCTAGGGTCGATGCAATGAGTTATGGTTTCATTGCAAGTGTTTCCCTCTTTGCTAAAATCCATTTTATGCCATGTACTTAATGGCTAACGACAGACTGGATATATTGCAGGTTGTAAAGAACAGAAACTTCCAGCTGTTACATGACTTTTTCATTCACTGCCCTACACCCTTCAGGACATATATCATAACTCGGAATCATTAAAAAGTACACGTAGCAATCTGTCTAAAATGAACAATGTTTTAATACTCTGTGTGAGAAGATACTAGTATGATTTTTAAATTACATGTGTAATTGTTTGTGCCATAGTGGCAGAATAATTGGTTTTGGTAAAATGATAAAATATCCAACAGAAGGCATAACATGAGATACTGAAGCAATTCTTCCTCAGCAATTACCTTGTGCCATTTCTTTGTAATTAGGATCTCTCATAAACTGGGAGTAATAAATAAATTTACAATATAACCCAAATTTAATCTCTACAATTACACTCAACCTGGCTGTGTAAATAAAACAGTGTCACAAATTCTAAGTAATGCACTCTCAGCAAGTAGTGTGATCTCTGAAAACATGAATGGTAGAACTGCTGAATAGCAAAAGAAAAGCCACTAAAGGATCTTTATCCCATAATTACAATGTATTGAGTAATAGCAAGTTGAACAACATGAATGTGCTTGGATGAAACGTGTAGGGAATTATTCCAAATGTGAAATTATGCAAGTATGTAATAAATATCAGATTTAAGTAGTGCCAATGTCGTACTAGGACCATCTTATCTGCTTCTTATTCAGTGATGTTATATTATTTATTGTTTGCAGGGAAATGTGTGCCTACCTGTTATGATCTCCTTTTCTTTAAATGCTGAAAATCAGACTCCCATGGCTTTTCCTCTTATTCAACCGAGGAAACTACATCACGCCTAGGAATCAGAATTTCTAGAGAGGGGCTTTCAGGACACTCCCAAACTGGTAAAAAATGTCATGTTTAGCAGTTGCACCCCCGTTCAGTTCTTTCTGTCTCTATGAAGAAATCTCCTCCTGGGAGAAAGACAGTATCATCCTCAAACATCATCAGGATCTGTGGTTGCAGAGTATGCTGGTTTCAGGGGGTGCCATTCTGCATTTAAATCTTCCCTTTTGCCTTCTTGCCACATACCTATAGCATCATTCATAGCCAAAGTGTTGGGTTCTTTCTCCAGTATATAGTGTGACATTATATCATTAGCTGGCCACTGGGATGACTAGTTTAACATTTTATATATACACATACACACACATTGGTTTAATCTGAAATCAGTCATTAAGTATACAGCTGTGATCATTTTGTTAGCATTTGCTCAAACCCAAAGACTAGGATTTTATAAGCTGTATTTCAATAGATCCTTTTATATTCTGAATTCATCACTGCTGCAGTAATGTTGTAGTCAAGTCAACTCAAGAAAGCCAGGCGTACTGCCAGGAGAAATATAAATGGTTCATTTGTTAACATGTAGCCAATACAGTACATGAAAGTACAAGTTATAACATTAGTAGAAACAAGACAGTCAATCTTTGTCAGAAACATATCTTCAGTGAGCGACAGAGGAAGTTAGGTAACGAGTAGTGAAAAGGGGTGTGGAAGTGGAGAAAGGGATAAAGGGAATTTGAACATAGAGATCTTAGTCTCTAGGAATAGAGCAAGAGTCAGGCTAACAAAGTCAGGCTGACACTGACTCTAATAACGCGAGACTTGAAGGCCTAGGCGAGTAGAAAGCGAATGGGAACAGACTGTAAGAGATACTGTTTTGACCTTGGGTTAGATAAGAATGGAATGTAGACTGTGGCAGAAATTAATGAGAAAAGTGAGATATCAGGAAGAAAATGTATTACAAAATACATTTGTTGCTCATTATTGTATGTAATGAAAGGTATAAAAGCTTGCCTAATTGTTTACCTACCTGCCTCGGGAGGGGAACCTCTGCCCGTGAGTACTCTCCCGTGCATTTGCAATTGCTCGAAAATAAAGCTACCTCTGGCTTGTTGCTTCAAAGTCAGAGTGAGGACTAATTTTTCTCCCACAGGTGATACAGTATTCTTTGTACAGACATACTTCAATCACTTGTGAAAAATTTAGTTATGTCTGATAGTTGTATGTTGAGTGATGCAGTCTGCCAAATTGTTTAGCTATGCAAGGATTTCAACATGAGAATGGAAAGCTCAGCATAATAACACACACAAGAGACCTTTCAAATACTGAAGAGTCTAATCAAGTCTTAATTCCTTTGCAAAGAAGGATAGACAAGCTCATTAGCTACTCAGAAATATAGCTGATACACAAGCTAACTTAATGGTATTAATAAC